GAGTCAGCTTGCGCTATCATAAGCTGTAGACCTCGTGAACAATTGAGATCTCCTGAAGTTGAATCTTTTCACTTTGGATATGGACTCGGGTCTGTGGTTCACACACAGGCTTGGAAGCTTGCAAGGTGCTTTTGACGAGGAGACACGACGCCGTGGAAGGGGATCTACGAAGGGGAACTCCAGTACGAACTGAGAGTGTGCCTAAACCGCACGAGTACAAGACCTCCAACGAGGGCGGTGCTACGTACATACCTCTGTCTCCGTGAAACTTGTAATACGTAAGCAGGAACTAGATAGAGGTAGAGAGCAACGACAGCCTACTCCGAGTCGCCTGAACTGGACAGCGTATCTTCGCCTGCTGTCGACGGCTCGTTCATGCGCTCCTCAATCAAGACTCGAATTTCTTCAAGGACATAATCCCCCGCGTGCGGATCTGCCTTGGTGTCGTCGAACTTGCCGCCGCCCGCGGACGACGTGTCCATGTTGTACCCGCTGGCCAGCAACAAGGTCACCAGTTCAGGGTCGTCCTGGACGTATGATAACGGGGTCGATCCCCAGTCGCTCCTCACGTTCACATCCGCTCCGTTCTCGATGAGCAGTTTCATGGTCGACGCCCGTCGTGTCGCCGCGGCCCAGAGCAAGGCAGTCATTCCCGCCTCGTCTCTCGCATTGATGTCCGCGCCGCGCTCGAGGAGTTGGCGGATTCTCACGTCGCGGCCCGCAGAGGCGGCGATGCGCAGGCCGGTGATTGTGGCGCTTTGGTTTTCAATGCCCAGCTCCCAGACTATCCTGGCAACCTCGCCGGTCTGATGCAAGAGAAGGAGGTCGAGCGCAGTCTGACCGTCGTCGTTTCGAGCCATAACATCGGCGTCATACTCCAGCAGAAGCTCGACAAAGTCTATGTTCTTCCGCAGCACCGCGACGTGTAGCGGCGTCATGCCGCCCTTGCCATGTCTCATGTCGGCTCCGTAATCCAACAGCAATGCTCCGACAATGACATGCCCGACATAGGCCGCCATGTGCAGCACGCTCCACCCCGACTGGTCAATAATGTCGACATCTGCTCCGTACCGAAGAAACAACCGAACAGTGTCTTCGTGTCCGGAGCTTACAGCCTGAAACAAGGCCGTGCGGCCGTACTGGTTCTGCACGTCGACTTCCATGCCGCTCTCGAGTAAGATGCGCACCGTCGATTCATGGCGCTGTCCTGCAGTGTGGTGCAAAGCAGTGAAGCCTGTGGTATCCTTGCAATAAATAATAGGCCGGTGATGGTTGATTAGCATTTGCACGATATGATCAAAGCCAGGCGGAGCGGATTCGTCCAAAGCTGTCCAGCCACTTTCATCTTGGATCATGCAATCAGATCCGTGATCAAGAAGCAGCCTCACAGTCTCGGTGTGTCCCTCGCTAGCTGCCCAGCTGAGCGGCGTTTTGTGCTGGTCGTCCAATGCGTCGATCTCAGCTCCGTTCTCAACCAGCATCGCTACTACTTGATCATATCCGTTGAATGCCGCTGCCTGTAGGGCCGTGCCATGTTCGCCACCTCGAGCATTGATATCAGCGCCGTGGTCGAGGAGCAGTTTCGCGCAGCTCGTGTGACCATAGGCGCACGCACCCTGTAGGGCATTTCCGTAGTCTCCACTCTCCTGGTTAACATTTGCACCATTCGCCAGGAGTACTTTGACAACGTCCGTGTGGCCTTTGCAGGCTGCGGCTTGCAAAGCGGTCCCGTAGCGCCCGCCTAATGCGTTGACGTCAATGCCCTTGGCTAACAGCAATCTGACTGATCCAACTAGGCCGGCGTGTGCGGCATAGTACAACGCAGACGGGAGAGTGTGCAGTGTCCTCGCAATATCTGGTTGGTCCATCCACGGCGTGTCCGGGTCATAGAAAAGAATCTGGCTGTGCAGTTGGGCATCTTGAGCGCTGAGAAGCTCGGTACACAAATAATTCAGGTCAATCGGAAGGTCCTTCACTTGCGGACTCGTGGACGAGAGGTTGAGCACCTTCAGGATCAACAACAGAAATTCGACGATGAGCGCTATGACGGGAGCGTTCTGGTCCATGTTGGCCAGCTTTGGGGGCTGGCCGGTGGTCGGAGAAATAGCCCTCTCAGCCGCAGCGGCCACGGCTTGGACATGATGAGGCCAATGTTTGGCAGCATAGCGGGCGAGGCAATAGCTCTCGGGACTTCTCGACGATAGGGTCAGCGGCGTATCAAACTGTCGAAGGTAAATTAAGCAAGTCTCCGCAATGCTCTTGTGCGCTGATAAGGGGTCGATCGCATAATAAGAGGCCTTGCCATCGCGGATCCTGGAGGAGACCAAAAAGTCCCGGACGGAAAGATGAGCCAACCGCAATTCTCTATAAGTGACAGTCTTGGTCTTGACCGTCAATACCCGAACCAAGGTGCTGTACGTATGAAAGAACCTTTGAGGATCGATCAGCCGCCTTCGAGCATCGTAGACTGGTCGTGGCGTCGCGGCCAAGTCGACAGCCATAACTTCCGCAATCTCTTCCAACCGGATTGGTCTTGCCGAGAAAGACAGCCACCGCAGCACATTCCTGATTGCCTCTTTTCTCGCATCGGTGATTGCTGAGAGCGCACATTCGTAGGTTTCTTCCAGGGTTGCGGGCAGGCGGTTGAGAGCATCTTCAAGCTCGGCCAGGGTGTGACATTCTCGCAGAGCTCCAATTTGACATGCCACCCACCGAAAATTCCCATTTGCGCCTTTGATGAGCGATGTCGCGATAACTTGCTGCTGGATTGGGTCCCATCTGTTCAGGACGTCGTCATCTTCGAGGGTTGCAAGGACGTGCTTTTCCACATCAGCGTCCACCACAAGCTCTTCAACCACAACAGTGGCACACTTCCATTTGCGATTGCGGATCTCGGCATCTATATCGGTGCGACTGGTTGCAAGAACGTGGATTTGAGGCAGGGTCCATTGCATGATGGTGTTGAGAAAGTTCAAGAACTCCTGCTTCTCCTTGCATTCGTCCACGGCATCAATGACCAGATAGAAGGGTGAAAAATCGCCGATGATAATTTGTAAGGTCCTCACAAGATCAACCGTCGTAGGTTGCACTGTACCATTGCGACAACGTTGATAAAGCGATGCGAGGGGTTTTGGAAGGTGACCCCTTTGTGATGACAGCTGTTCAACCAGTGATCGGAGAAGTCGATTATGATCTTGAGCAATGGATTGATTGTTGAAGTCGAAATAGAAGTATGCGATTCCGGCATTTGCTTGGCTCTCACAGTCCTCCATCAGTGAGTTAATGATGGCAGAGCAAAGAACAGTTTTACCGCAGCCAGCATTTCCCTGGATCCACAAAACAGAACGAGGTGAGCTCTTCCATTCTGCGAACTCTGGGCCGTCGAGCAGCCAGGATCCCGTTTGTGGCCTATGCTTCGCAGAAGCGTCCAGGTGGCTAGATCTGGGGCTCGGTGGATCCAGCCAGCGGATGATCTCCCTCGAGTCTTCCCTGGTGTAGAATTGGTCGATAGTATCTTGAATGGTGTTGCTCTGGCTAATCAGAATCGACGTGCCGGCCTGCTGCAAGATCTCATTGAGTTTAGATATCCTTTCTCGAAGTCTGCGCACCGTGTCGGCAGTGAAGGGATACAACACGCGGATCGTGCGCGACATGGTCTTCCGTATGGACCGACGCTCGTCTTTCCGGTATTTCAAAAGTCTCTTCAGTTCAGTGTCCAACTCCGCAATGCGGCCGCTGCATGATTCGATCAGTGCAGCGACCTGGGTTTCTTGATCCGTGTCGATGCGGCTGTCATTAACTGATCTTTGGAAGAGCCTCAAGGTCTGCGTGAGGTGGTTGGTCTCGTCGCAAAGGCATTCAACATCATTTTCTGCCTCGCGGTATGCGTTGTAGTAATTGATCAAGCCGGCACAGACTTGGAGTCCTAGAGATACAAGGCCAGCTAGACTGGCAGCCAGGCCAACTTCAGCCATTACCCAGGAGTGGGTGCTTGAAAGAGCGTCCACCGGAGGGTGGGCTCTTAGACGTGTAACTAGATCGACAAGCAGACGTCCAGGCCACGGGCTCTTCCTTTATGGAAACACATTCGATGCAGCACCCAGGATGAAAGCAGGGAGCATACCAGGTCCTAGAGCAGCACCCACAAGGGAGTATCTTGTAAGATGGAAAGAGGACAGGAAGGATTATGGCCGCAAGCATTGATCGAAGGCAGCCTGGCCTGATTGAAAGACAAGTGACACAGTCTGACCCAGAATACACAGCGCTATTTCAATGATGAAGCCAAAGAGGGCCCAAGAACGGCGGGGCAGCCGCTATATCGAACACAGCTAACAACGTAGACGAAGGATAGAGTACCTCTATGTCCAAAGGTAAACGGAATGCTCATTGTCAACGAAGGCCATCGTTCTAACAGCGAAGGACCTCGAGCGTGCCACTTGGTTTTCAGCTCGGCTTTGCCGATCGCGTGGATGCAGACTATTGGGCGGCTGGCTGCATTGCAAGCTCAAAAGCCTGTCGGTTATTAGGGGCCACGGCGTCGGGATGATCAAAGGGTGGTACGGATGGTAACACGAGCACAGAGGCTGCAGGCCCTCATCCCCCTTGGCAGCCTGACACCTGGTTCAATAGGAGGTGTCGAGGCGTATTTACTCAATCAACCAGGGATGGGAGGGAATCAAGCACGATGCCCACCATAGCTGCCTCTTGTCACTAGGTCAGTAGATGATACTCTCTGTATGGTTAGCTAGATAGGTCTCTTTGCTCGAATGGATTCATCCTCCTCTCAGAGAGTCAGTCCTTGCTCCAAGCTCTAGCTTTGCGCTACTTTTCAACCCAAATTATTCAACTGCGTACTCGGTACTTTTTCTTTCCCCCAGAGCCTTGCGTCCGTCCCTCACTAGGCTCAACTAAACAGCATCTTTTTAGTACTCTTACAAACCTCTTAACGGGCGGAAGTCTGCTGATCTGCCAACAACCGCCTAATGTCGCTGCATGGCTCTCTAAGCACGACCAGCACCCCTCGGCGAATTTCGGCCAGCCTCGGCCTTCTTGATCTCCTCGAGAATCATATCCCGAGCTGACAGCACACCATCTTCCTTGCCTACAATCGTGATAGCTTCTCCCTCCTCGCCTTTGCCAGAATTTCTGTTTGGAACTTGAATGTCACAACCCGATTGTCTCCTAATAGCATTGATGGTCGAGCCCCCCTGTCCGATGATGTGGCGGTGCAGTCTGGGATCGGGAAGGATCAGGAAGCCCGTGTGTTGAGGTTCGGCAGCCTTCTCTAGCAGGGACTGTATCTTGTCCTTCGCCTTGGCGACTGTGTCCTCTGAAGAGTCCCTGCCGGCCATGATCACCCAAGGGATCTCTCCCGAATCACCATCAAGTCCCTGCTGATTGGAGACGATATCCCACGAGTAGGACTCCTCCCCAGGCTGATCAGTGATCAGTGGCATTTCACCATTTGTTGTCCGTGTCCGTGGTCCGCGGTTTGCAGCAGGTTTTGGTGGTGGTTTGTGTCCGTTGTGATCGACGCGAATGCCATCTCGAGAAAGCTCCCGGAACAGAGCACCATTCTTGGAAACAATGTGGTGCAGAGACCGTGGAACCATGATTGTTTCACCCTGGGGCTTGGAAATCATTCCTTGGATGCACTCCTTGGCCTTGGAGACATTTTCCGGACGACCAATGATCTTCACACCCGTTAGTCCAGTGCCCTGACTAGGCACATTGAGGGTCACGCTGAACTCTTCTTCAAGTTTCTTTCGAATGCTGCCGTTCGGCCCAATCAATTTACGGTGCTGGTTTACGGGTACATCAAGTGTTTCGGTCGTCTGGTGCTCTCGCTCGTCCACAAAGGATTGAATGGCTGCCACGATCTTCTCAACAACGTCAGCTGTACCCCTGACAGTAAGCTCATCAGACTCGTCCCCTTGACGGGGGAATCGGACGTGCTCCGCACTAGAACCGGTGCCGCCTGCTTTGGCGACAAGGTTTTGGATGTGAGAGCCTGTAAAAGTCAGCGTGTCTCCTTGTGCAATTCGGGGTAAAACATACCGCCAGCTCCGATCAGAGCACGGTGGTGCTTCCTGTCAACCGTCACAGTGCGCGTAAGAATGTTATCAAAGGCCTTGGATCGCTTCTCTAGCTCCTTTTTGGCGTTCTCGACTTGCTGCTTGGTGCCTTTGATCTGGATTGTCACACGGTCAGAGCCATCGGCTTTTGGAATATCAATTTGAGCTCCTGTATCGGCTCTGAGCTTCTCCATCTCCTGACCACGCCTGCCGATGAGAGAGGCGATCTGTCCTTGCGCCACTGACACAGTTGCAGTGTGAGAGTTATCGACCAAGTACTGGTGGAGACTCAACAGTTCGTCGCGAACCTTCTCGGCCTTGGCTCGGGGTCCTCGTATCCTGATCTCATCCTGAGGCTGACCCCTGCCAACGCCAGCTTCGCTCGCTGTGTCGGCGACAGAGGCATCGTCGCTGAATTTCTGCACTTTCGGGAAGTCAATCCGCACCGCGTTATCAACTTTGCTTTGGATTTTCTGCAGATTCTCTCCGTTCCGGCCCACGAGCATGCCATGGTATTTGGGGTCAATTTTGATTGCGAAGTTGACTTCATCTTCCCATTGTTTGGCAAGCCGCTGGATTTCCGCTTTGCAAGCTTCAGCCTTCTTTGCCGGTCCTTTGATGGAGATTTGGCCGTCTTCGCGAGTGTCGATCTCTACGTCGTGCTTTTCACGCAGGGCTTTGATGTTGGCACCTTGTTTTCCGATCAAATTCTTGTTGAATTTGGTTGGAAACGCAAAAGTTGTTGTATATCCACGCTCCTTTTCGTCTTCTTCGGCCTCTCGTAAGAACTGTTCGATCTTCTGGCGGAGTTCCGCGATATCTACCTCACTTGGCCCACGTAGATAGACTCTTTCGGATGGTGAGCCTCTAGAGACACCATTGGGTTGTCTTGGACCGCCTCTAGCGCCGCCAAAGTCTACTTGCACGGGGAAAGCCTGCGGAGGGACAGGTCTAGGCTCATTGTTCACAAATCTCTTGACCTTGTCTTGAAACTTCTTCGGGACATGAATATCCTGAACAGAGATACCTTGATGAGGAATGTTACTGAGTAGCAAGGCTTGTGCCTCTTGAAGAGCTTTCTCAAAGGTGGCCATTTCAGCCTTGCTGGGCTTCGTGCGAGGAATCGCAAAAGGCTCCTCCTGCGAAGGACCCTCGTAGACTAGCACGACGGGATCCGAGCCGTCCTCAGGCACGATCATATGGACACCCAGATCATCCCTCAGATTGGCTGCATGCATCTGTTCAAGATGAGGGTGGAAGAAGGGATCAACTTCGACCAACTGGATTCTCGCCGAAGGATAGGCTTGAGTGATTTTCGAGAGCTCGTTGCGCGCAGACAGTGCCTTCTGGGGATCGTTGCTAATGACAGTCCAGCTCGGGGAGGCACTGTTGCTTGGTGGGAAGATAATTTCTGCACCGTGAGACTTCATGAATTCTCGTTCAATAGCCTTCTGTTGAAGGTACTGGGCAAGTGCTCTTGAGTGGCGCTCCGGACCTTGAGGGGCATCGTTGAAATGCTTGTGCATATCGACGGCTCGATTGTGCTTTCGGGACATAAGTTCTTCGGCAAGATTCCGACCCGCTTCGAGCCTGTCTCTGGGGCCGATGATGTGGATATCCTCTGTCTCATGATGGGGCGGCGGGAGAATAACAGCACAGCCTGTCTCCTCCAAGAACTTCAGAGGGTCCATGCCGCGCTCGCCGACAATGTATGGATGTAGAATCTGTTCGGCGGCAAGCTCTTCCAGCACTAGTTCCTTCTGGAGCTCTTCGGCCAATTGCTCGAGGAATAGCCGTGCTTCTAATGTAGCGGCTTGGTCGCCAGAAATGACGATGTGATTGTCTCCGTGAGGGACGAAGGTAGGGGGTTGGTCCGCCTCGGCAGGCCGTGGTGGCGGTTGTTGCTGCCACGTGTGGTACTGCGGCACATTGATCCGAACGTCACGGTCCTGCTCCAACTGTTGAATACGATCTGCGTGCCGGCCAGCAATGAACGGATAGAATTCCGGAGGAATGTTGCGAACGGGTAGATCGACTTTCGGCTGCAGGGATTTGACCTGATTTGAGATCTGCTCGTAGACTTGCCGAACTTGAGCAGCATTCCCACGAATCTCGACCACATCCGTCCTGACATCTTCGGGGCTCGTGACGGGTTTCGTATCACGATCAATATGTATGCGAACATTGAATTGGTTTTCAAGCTTCTTGATGTTCGCACCTGCTTTGCCAATGATCTGGGCGGAGACGGTGGACGGAATTTCCAACTTAACTTGTTTCTCGAGCGTGAGTTCCTTAGAGACGTACATCAGAGCCTCCGTGACCCGGGCTTTGGGACCCTCGGCAATGAATTCGGTTCGAGTCGCGAAATTGGTAGACTTGGGAGTAACGATGACATTGAACTTCTTTTTGACGTCGTTCAAGATGCGTGACAGAGGTTTGCTCTTGTCCAGATCGGCGTTGTCGATTTCAAAGGAGTCGCGGTATCTTCCAGGAAGAACGACGTTGCTGCGTGGGCCGGCTGTGGTGACAGGAGTCCGCGCACCGGGCGTCGAGGCCGGCGTTGGAGCACCGGAAGAGGTCGGGCGGGATCCCAGTGCGGGAGAACCATTTGTTGGAGCAGCTTTGGCAGAAGCACTGGCTATCCAACCGGGCTGTCTCGCGGGGGCAGCGGTGCCAGGTTTCGTGGCGGCTCCCAAAGATGGGAACGCCTCCTCAGACTGAGTGTCAAGAACCGGAGGCTTGTCAGTTGCCTTTTGCTTTCCTGCGGCCTTTGCCGACACTGGAACGTTGCTAGCCCCGTTGGTGTTGGTTGTGGTATCTTCCGCCTCTTCTGCAGGATGATGGGCAGGGGGAGGATGTTGAATGTCGTCTTCGTCGACGACATCTTCGACCGTCACATGATGCGCCTCTGCAGCCTCGTGCTTCTCCTGCATGAGTTGAGCAGGAGTCTTGGTCGTGCTGGAGCTGGCATTTGCGGTAGGATCTGCCGTTGCAGTGGCCATGGTGGTGTTGGCTCCAAAGAAAGCCTCGAGAGAACCGATAGGGGAGAAACCGAAAGAGCAGGACGGAGAAACCGAAAACGCTTGGAAGGGTTAGAGTGTGGCAAGCATGAAAATGTCACCACAAGTTGATTCGAAGGACAAGGTAAGCAAAGTGACGAGCGACGTCTGTCACTGTATCAGGGGAAAGGGTAAGAATAGGTGACAGGTGTTGTGATAGACCAACACAAGGCACGGGAAGATGCAATGCGGAAAAGGGACGTTGGTGTCTGGTTATATTCCGGGATGTGGAGAAAGACACAGGAGGTCTTGGATACTTCGGGTCTTCCACTTGGTAGGTCCTCCGGGACGGAAAAACAAACCTCCGTGTCACCGGATCGCCGTCCCCATCGTCTTCTAACCGACTCGGCGAGTGGAAAATGAAGCGGCAAGGTCTGACAGAATAAACGGACACCTTCCCAGGCTGGCGGCGCAATGCCTGGTGTAGCCGAAGAGTACTTGATCACGACTAAGTGGCCGCGGTATATCAATATAGTTAATAGTATAGATATAAGATAGGGTATCGCTATCTCTCAACGTAAATGAAGTACTGCTTTATAGAAGAAGGTCAACTTCGCACCAACAGTGGAGGAATTGCTGTTTACTCTGGTTTGCTGCCAAGAAGGTCCTGTCTGACCGTGGCCATTATTTTTCGTATAGGCTCGCCTGGCTCCGTGTACCTCTTAACTTCACTCTCAGGCAGGCAATTCATCATCTCAATTGTCGCCCAGGAAGACACCGATGGTTGCATTGCCAACAGTTCCCTGTAATGCTGCCACAAAATCTCCTCATCCTGGTGTCTATCACGCCTTGCCTTGCGATTTGGCCCCAACCTGCTGAGATCCGAACTGGTCATCGAGTATTGTGGCTCGATCCAGCCCTCCATGTGACTCTTCGCTGCGAAGAGAAAACAGTTGATCTCTATGGCACTCCTAACTCTCAGGGGAGTCATCTGGCAGGCGTGCTCAATGGCGCTTTTGGACTCACACAGGGCCTGATGGATAAGCTCCAACTCGCCTTTATGACCAGAAACAAGAGCGACCAGCATTGTTTCTCTGAGAGATCAATTGTGCAGAATGCCGTACGCGAGACCATTCGATCAATCCAACAGTCCAACTTCGTCCCTTGGAAGCTTTACGAACGACATTCGACTTTTGAGCCTGATCCACATGCTGCGCGTCATTACATTTCCGCGTTGCATATTCAGCAACAGTCTTGTCCGACATCAGAGTCGCTTTCTCCGGAAAGCTATTTTGGAGGCGATGAATCATATCTAATCGATATTGACGACGTCGGTATCACTTCTATCAAGGCAAATGGCAGCATTGGGACGATCAGAGGCCTTCAGACTCTTGAACAGCTGTTTTTTGCCCACTCAACAAAGTCGGGTTCGTACACACCATTCGCGCCTTTGAGAATAGCCGATAGAGCCAGATGGCGTCATCGCGGGTTGAGCATTGACATAGCGAGAAATCCCTTTGAGTCGAAAGACCTCCTCCGCACAATCGATGCAATGGCAATGACTAAGCTGAATAGATTGCACATCCACGCGACTGATTCGCAAAGTTGGCCTCTCGAGATACCCTCCCTCCCGGACTTGGCTCGAAAAGGGGCGTATCAACCCCATTTTGTATGGAGCGCCGACAACCTTCGTGAGATCCAGATGCATGGTGCCGCCAAGGGCGTTTCGGTCTTCATTGAAATTGACATGCCGGGGCACACGGCGTCGGTGGCCTATGCATATCCCGACCTGATTGCGGCATTCAATGAATTAGATTGGTCAACATTTGCCGCAGAACCTTTGAGTGGCCAGCTTAAACTCAATTCATCGGACGTTCACAGATTTGTTGCTACTGTCCTTGATGACCTTTTGCCGCGAACGAGTCCTTACACGTCATTGTTTCACGTCGGGGGCGATGAGTTGAATCGAGCGGCCTATCTCCTCGACGAAACAGTGCAGAGTGACGACCCGAGAGTGCTGCAGCCACTGCTACAGAAATTCATCGACAAGGTCATCGTGGCAAGCATCCGGTATGGCCTTCAGCCAATTGTCTGGGAGGAGAGTAAGCTTCCCTAGAGCATGATTCGGTGTTGCGGCTAGCCTTGAAGCCTTCTGCCCGATGCTAACAACAAAGTAGTGCTTCTTGACTGGAATTTGACACTGCCTTCTGCTACGGATAGTGCTTCGTCGAGACAGACCTTGGTCCAAGTTTGGCGGAATAGTGAGCGGATCGAAGAAGTATTGAAAAGAGGCCATCGAGCAATATTTGGAGACTACCACTTTTGGTATCTCGACTGTAAGTACCGTCCGCTCGAGTGCGGGTCTTTGCTCATCATGAGAAGGTGGTTTTGGGGTCTTTCTCAACCCCTATCCGTCTGGCAAGTCGCCTCCTGGAGTCCCCTACAACACATCAGGTGGATACCCGAGCAAATTACAAAAGCCATATGTTGACTATTGCAACCCTTATCACAACTGGAGGCAGATGTATACTTATAATCCGCTGGCGAATATTAGTGCTGATCTCCAAGAGGGCATTGAGGGAGGCGAAGTATTAATGTGGTCTGAGCAGACTGACTCGAGCGACCTTGATTCAAAGCTTTGGCCTCGAGCTGCGGCAGCGGCAGAAGTGCTGTGGGCGGGAGTAAGGCAAGAAGCGATGCTAGAGGACGCCACTAGAAGACTGGGGGAATGGAGAGAAAGAGGGGTCATGGATCTGAGGATCCGCATGTCGCCAGTGACCATGACGTGGTGTTTGATGGAGGGTGGGTGCAACTTGTAGAGATCGATAGACAGGGTTGAAGCAGACTACTCGGTATCTGTCGGTATATGGGCGACCGTCTGGTGGCCTGAGACAGAGTTTCTGTAAGCACTCCAGGACCCAAGCGACAAACTTGAAAGGGGATCCCCTTGCGAGATGGTCTGGCTTTCATTGGTTCACAAGTAAATAGCAGCCGTACTTCGTAAAGTTCCAAACGGAATACGAAAAGCATTCTGAACTCCTGTTGTTGGAGAAACCCTGAAAGATGCCAATCACCCTACCATGGATACATTAAGCATTATAAGAGGCAATAGGCTGCATTTCATCACCTAAGACCTTATTAGCTCACATGGAGTGGCATGAGCTAAATAAGCCGGAATGTTTGGTTTAAGGTACGATTACCACCTCTCACAAGGCCTCACTAGCCTTTTGACCACCGCGACCCTGGAGCCTGGTCGCACCGCACGGGCCCAACTACTGCTCCAGATCCGACTCGACCCCAAGAGCTTCCAGGTTCTAGCCCTAGGTGGCCTTTCCTGATAAAACACGGCTTTCGTTACTCTTCCCCACCGACAGTGTTATATGTGTTGCGAATTGAACAGCAAACGGCATCTGCTTGACACTATCTGTGAATATGATCTTGCAATTCCGTCTATGGCAGTATTTCACCCTTGCGGCGTTCCTCGCATATGTCGCCTCGGTGTACCTTAGGAGGTATATAAAATGGAAGAAGGTCCTGGCCCTCGGTGCTGAATCGCCTCAGGTCACGACACGCTTCATATTTGGTCTGCTTATTATCCGAGCAACAGGGGGTCATCGTGCTTGCTAACATCTGGTCCTCAGGACTCGACTTTCCTGTTCACTCAACATTGGCGATCCTCAGGAATCAGGCTCTGGAATTCTGGGAATGGATTTACGAACACACCGGGACCGACAGCAAAGGGACGGGTTCGTACACGGCAGAACTCCATATCTTGGTGGATGTCCGTGTACTGTTCACGGCCGATCCAGAGAACACCAAGGCTATTTTGACGACCCAATTCCAGGACTTTGGCAAAGGTAGGCGCTATCAACCTATGAGAGAAAACCGTGGATTCTCCATGCTGCTCGAGGCTAAACCTTGCATAAAATATAATAGGCGAAGAATTCCACAAAGAATGGTATGACTTTCTCGGCGACAGCATTTTTACCACCGACGGACAACAATGGCATAACTCGCGACAGCTCATTCGCCCCATGTTCATCCGTGAAAAGGTCGCCGATCTGCCTTTGATCGAGACTCATGTTCGCAAATTGATATCGCTGATGGGGCCAGGGGACGGATCCCCGGTCATGTTGAATAAGCTTCTCTTCAGATTCAGCCTCGATGCTTCCACCCACTTCCTGTTTGGCCACAGCGTTGGCAGCTTGGACAAAGAACAGTCAGAATTCGCCGCTGCCTTTGACGAAGTTCAACGCGTCCAGTCCCTGGAAGGTCGCCTAGGGTATGTATCGCCCCAACACCTGTCCACGTATGGTTAGCTTACAATTTGTGCAGACCTTTGAGACACTTCGGCAGCAAGAGATCCTTCTATGAAGGCTTGAAGACGATGGACCTTTTCATCGAGCCATTCATCACCGAGGCACTTTCAATGTCTCCCGAAGAGCTGGAGACCAAGTTGTCTCGCTCAGACACCTTTATCCACGCGCTAGCCCGATATACAAGAGACAGAAAAGTGATGCGCGACCAGCTTGTGGCATTGTTGCTGGCTGGCCGCGACACCACTGCTGGGACATTGTCGTGGGTCTTTCTTGAATTGGCGAAGAATCCTCGAGCTGTCGAGAAATTGCGCGCGGAAATCAAGGAATTCTTAGGGGACGACGGTCGACCACCAACCTATCAGGAGATCAAGGACATGAAGTATCTGACATACACCATCAACGAAACCTTACGCCTTTATCCGATCGTCCCGTTCAATGTCCGATCGGCACTCACCGACACCACGTTGCCTCGAGGCGGGGGGAAAGACGGTAATGCACCAGTGGGCTGTCCAAAGGGTACGGTGATAGGATACAGTACTTTGCTGATGCAGCGAAGAAGAGACCTATACCCGCCAATCTCACCGTCCTTTCCTTATGATCCGCTTGAATGGTGGCCAGAGCGCTGGGCGACTTGGACCCCCAAGGCATGGAACTTCATCCCGTTCAACGGCGGACCCAGAATATGTATTGGACAGCAATTTGCGATGGTAGAAATGGGGTACACGATAGTCAGGATTCTGCAGGAATTCGACCAAATCATTGATTATGGGACCAAACGCATCCTGCATGCACAGATTATCCTGACTCCGGCAGAGGGTGTGAAAGTGGGATTTATCAAGAGTGCGAAGAAGAGGGAGAAGGCTTGAATCATGGGCAGAGAAAGGGCGCATACCTAGGTAGGTGGCTATGCGATGAACATGATGTCTTGGATGGACTTGGAATGAGCAGCATCAAAACGCGTCTCCGAAAGCAGCGGGAAGGGATGAGAAATGTTCCTCGGTTCGTCACTAGTAAATCTGCGAAAATATCGAAAATATCTGGCTGCTCTAAAGGCCACAGAAAAGTCACGTGCTCGTAGCAAACATTGTGTCGCCTTCTCGTACTTGCTACCAGCCATCAATACTTTACATTAACTATCTACTTGATCTCATCCTTGGACCGCACGCGCATTTGCCATTCTATCCAGAACATCGAGAGGCGTGACCGGATAGACTCCGAATATTCAATACCCACTCGATAAGGCGCAACAAAGGAGTCTTTTGTCATCGTGCCGCAAACACCGCAAAGCCGCGATTCCTCTACTTGACCTCCTCAGTGAGGCGAATCTCCTTCTTCCGGCCCCCGTACATACATCTCCCATACTCGCCTTCTTATACGATGTCAACCATCGCTCTCGAGACGCCGCTGGCGGAAGCGCTGAGCGGTGCTGTGCACTCCAAGATTGTGGAAGAAGGCTGGACACAAGATGACGACACCTCATTAGCGGAATACATCGTCCTCATGCTTGCCAATGGAAAGACTCAGAATCAGATCGCATCAGAGCTTGCTGGCGAGTTGCTGCAGGATGCGAAAGGAACAACCGAGTTCGCGCAGTGGTTGTTCGATCAGGTGAATCTGTTGTCTGGCGGCGCAGCTGCTTCTGATCCTGCAGTAATATCACAATCCTCAGAACAACCTGAACAGGTCGCTGCGCCTACTTCGCTGCCTTCAGGTTCTACTGAGAACGGAAACTCTTCAATACCTGCAGCGTATGACATGGACATGGTTGATAATGCACCAGAAAATGCGTACGTTGTGCCCCACCCGAGGCAATTTCTGAACATCTCTTCTGACATCCTTCACAGACCTCGAGGCCCTAAAGGTCTACATGGCGGCCGTCCTGCCGGCAGAGGGGGACGAGGAGGCGCAATAAACAAAACCTCCGATTCAGCTTTACACCGCGTCCGTGGCAACGATAGAATAAACACTCACGCCAATATGCGCGGCGCGCCGAAAGGACCCCGCAACATCCAGAATCGAGAAGTGCGCCCCGGCATGCAGAAAGCGTTGAATATGGGCATGACTGGTTCCGCTCAAGGCATGCAGAATCCGATGATGATGAATGGTGGACAACAAGGCCAAGGGATGATGCAGATGACCCCACAGCAACAGATGGAATTCATGGCTATGATGGAACAACAGACTCGCATGCTGGCACAGTTTACTGGAATGATGCCAGGAGCAGCGAACCCCGCGTTCTCACAAGGTGGCAACCTGCCCAGCAATCAAGGTCGATCATTGTTCGATCGAGTCGAGCCCGGGCGTGGCCGCGGAGGTGGTCGAGGCCGGGGCCGAGGGGGTAGCAGTCAGAACGGCCACATCAAGTCCCCTGCGAGAGCAAGCGATCAAGACACAGCTATGGAAGGTGATGGTCAGACGCCAGGACCCGAACCATCTACCACGGATGCCCAGCCAACCAGTGAGGGTGAACGGAAGCCACAAGATCCGTCCAATACGATGTGTCACTTCAACCTTCGCTGTACCAACAAGGACTGTCCTTATGTCCACCAATCGCCGGCTGCTCCGGAGGGAACAGTTGTTGATATGTCCGACACATGTCAATTTGGTCCGGCCTGCAAGAATTCGAAGTGCGTCGGGAAGCATCCTTCCCCGGCCCAAGTCAGGGCGTTCCAGGCACAAGAGCTGTGCAAGTTTTTTCCCAACTGCACCAAGCCCAACTGTCCATTCAAGCACCCAACAATGCCGTTGTGCAAGTTTGGTGCCAACTGCAAGACTCCGAATTGCCCGTTCACACACTTGCAGGTTCCATGCCGTTTCAACCCGTGTACAAACTTGAGATGTCCATACAAACACGAACCGGGGCAGCAGAAGACAACCAATTTTGCCGATTACACTTGGACACCGGATAAGCAGACTGAACAAGATACCGCGAAGCAACACGTTAGCGACAGGAAATTTGTGGATGATCATGCGGGCGAGGAGGAACTGATCAAGCCAGAGACGGGTACAGAGACACAGATACGCGAGGAGGTGATTACTTAACGAGAGGTAACCAGCTCAATGAAGGATATTGGGACGGATAGACCGTGTTTGTGAAGGCAAGCTGATGCTTTGTCATCGGCCGAATGTATTTGTACATTACGAACTGAAAGCATACAAACCGGCACCAAGTGCTAGGTTGAACAGGCTTCTGATAATGATGGATCGGTGACGGCCTTGACATCAACGGGTTTGGAATCAAAAATGACCATTCCGGGGCCGCGCAAACATTGGATTTAACTTGATTTTTATATGCTGTCTATCTCCTCGTCCTCGTATTTTGTTGTCATCATACACTCGTAGGAGCCTCGCACATCACAGGGATCTAGATATACGGAGTATTCTGGTACCTAACCATTACACACTCTTGTTTGAACAAGAGCCATGACGCTGCCACTAGGATCACGTGTCTGTCACGTGAGAGAACTGAGGCCCGCTTCCCGACTCAATTGCTCTTCGAA